TGGCCCAACGGATATATTGCAATATGGGCTGTGGGCAGCAGGTGGCAGGTCTGACGCCGGGTCGGTCCGGTTCTACCCGGCCCGACCTGGCGAATATAATATTAATAAAAAAAATAAAATAAAAAAAACCTGGAAACCGTTGCCGGTGGTCGGCCTGTGGCCCGATCCAGCTCAAACCGGACCGCCGGTACAAAAAAAAAAAATATATATTTGAACCTTGACCGAACCGCGGCCCTTGCGGTTCGGTCCAACGAACTGGCCCTTATGTGGCCGGTTACGGGCTGTTTCTGGCCGGTCTGAGACCGGTTCCCGGTTCCCCCGAACCATGTCTACCCGGGACCCCTTCTTCAATCAGTGGCCACAAGAGAACATTTCAAATTGATCGACAATTTTTTAGTTTAAGATTTGAGGAATCTGCTTAATTTTGAATTTAGGGTTGAGGAATCTGTTGAATTTTGATTTAGGACACAAATTTGATTTTTATTTGAGATGTGGCATTTTAATTTCTCGTTTCTTATTTTTAGAAACCACAAATCATCTGCCGGTTTCCGTTTGGCATGCTTCAATTTGCTAAATGTCTAAAGTTGATGTACTTACTTGCAAACTTTGAAAGGTGGTGATTAAATGACAAAAAGTTGAAAGATGGTGCATTTTGGTTCAATTTTGCCTAATTTTAATGATATGTTTAATAAATTAATAAAATTATTCTTTTAAACTGACTTGATAGCGGATTTCTCTACAGTCCCGTCATGGAATGATTCCGTGAGGGATTTTAGCCATCAGATATACACATAGTTTTTAAACCCGGCCCGGTAATCGACCCGGGCAGGCCCTCGGGTCACCGGGTCACCGGTTCAACCGTCGGGTCACCGAGTCAATTGCTGAATCGGATAATTAATTTTAAAATTTTTAAAATTATTTATAGAGTATTTTTGTCATATAAATATACATAAAACTAACAAAATTAAATGTTTTGTGTATAAAATTTGTACATTAAAGTGTTATTAATATGTATCTCATGATAAATATTTACCATATAAACATATATACATAGTTTTATTTTTAAAAAATAAAAAAAAATAAAAAAATATATATATATGGACCGGGTCAATGCCCCGGGTTGGCTGGGTTTTGACCGGGTCTTTTGTTGCCCGGTCCAAATACCCCACCCGGACTGGTTCCGGCTCCGGGTCGACCGGGTCCCGGGTCGACCCGTAGGGCCGGTCCGAGTCACAAAACACTGGATATACAGTTATTGTCCTTATGGCTAAAACGGAATCATTGATAGACAAATCCCTTGATAGCACGTGAACTTACTAGCGTACAAAGAAAGCTGGATTTACGAAAATGGTGTCTACAGGTAAACTTCCTTTTCCAAAAATGTTGAAAGCGGAAGTGTAAACCCTATACCCATCACGCTGTAAGGAGCAAAAATGTTTTCGACCCCTTCTAAGAAATCCTTCTTCAGTGCCCGCAACAATGTCGCTAACCGGAGAGACGACGATTCCACTCCGGTGGCCGGCAACCGGAGACCACTGCTCGACAGCCCAGCCGTCCCAAACCGCCCCGCCACTGGGAACCCCGCCCCTTGGTTCTCTTGCCCTTCCGTCCTCGCTAGGTAGTNTGTGGTGGTGGTGGTTTGGGTTTTGGTTTGATTTAGTTGCAAATCTCTTTATGTGCAATGGTACATTTCTGGATGGCTATTGAAGTTAAACTACCCTGGGACATAGAGTTTAGCTTTTGGTATTCCAATCACATATTGCAACTTTTGTGGTTTTGTTCCAGTAGATAACTTTGAACCCAAGAATATCTGCATTAGCTTCTATTTGTTTGTTTGTAGGTTAATGTTTACAGTTGAGAGACACTACAAAAGCTTAAGCACCAGTTCTATAAAGATTATCATGGAAAATCCATATCCTGACCAAGTTTTCTTGTAGGCAGAGTCACCTTTCACACTTCAGAGCCAATTTTCTAAAGTTTTTCTACACTATTCTACTGCAATTTTTGGTTCAGTAGTAACCTTACAAACCCTTGCTACTTAGGTTTTGTTGTATTTAGCTCCAGAATTCTTAATTTGAAGCTTTCCCGGTTTTAAACTTTAATATAGATAATAAAGGGGACATTTGTGATCCATTTGTAATTAGAAGGATGTAATACTAACTTTTTGGTGTCCTTTATCATTTTTTACCAATCTGTGAATTGTGATACCAATCTGTGAATCTGTCAGGAAGAGAAGTTGGCTACGAGCTAAAGGTGAAGCTTATTGAAGCTGATATGAATTTTCTACAAGTACAGGTATTTAGTCCAATTCGCATGTTTGTTTTGTTAACTGACATTGAGAAGAAAAAAATAAATAAATTTTGACGAGATCAATATGTTGGGATGTAGGTTATCTATATTGTTTCTCATATTTTGATAACATGCCTAATCACTTGAGCAAAATACTAGGAATAATATTATCTCTGGACTAACGTTGTCTCTTACTCTTAAAGGAAGAAATAATGAGGCTTCTACACGATGATGATGAGGACAAGCAATTTATGGTGCAGCAGCTTCTTGATCCGCTGGAGCTCATCAGAATGTGTCTTAGAATCAAGAAGCGGGAGCTTTCTTTGCGACCCTTCGATATATTCTCGTGGATGGGTGCGTCCTTTCTCAGAAGCAACACATTTATTTTAGGGGAGTGCTGGAGAAATGCTGCAAGTCAAGATGATTGGGAGACTGTATGGCTTGTCCATGACTGAGGGCTGGAGTGACGAGAGAACCTCTGAGGTTCTCGAGCAAACTGTACTTTTCCATGCTGCCAGAAAATGTTATGGGCCTACTCAAAAAAGTTTTCATGTGAAATTCGATGAGATGCTCCTGTTGAGGATGGAAACGGATAAAGTCTGGTATGTGGAAGACGCCATCATGATGCACAAGGATTATTTCGATTCGGGCAAGCTGATGCTGACCGCTATCCTGCTCGGGAGTGTTTGACCAAGGGCCTTATATCATGGAGTGCAGATAGTTTCTGTCTCAGGTTGTCTTGGTTCTTATCAGAAGTTAGGATTTGGGCTTTTTTGATACCCAATGAAAAAGCCCAAATCCTAAAACAATTATAAACTAACTAAACAACGAAAAAATAGAAATTGAAAATACTTCTAAATCAATAACTTAATTTTTTTTTGGATAGATCGCCAAACACCAAAAGAATACCGCACCTCTTCAATCTATAAACAATAATTTCTTTCAAAAATAACTGTGTAAATATCACAAACAAGTAGGCATAATTATTTCCGCAATAAGTTAAATAAGTCAAAAAATAAATTAACTATGATTTATTTTAAGTCAATCAACTGAATGGGTTTCTAAAACTATTAACTCCCTATTGTATTAAAAAAATTTATTAATTTAAAGCCCAACAAGTTAAATAAATTCCTTTAAAAAAGTTATCAAATGGGCATTATTTTGCACAGTTATAACCCTAATTATGAACTTAACCTCGAGAAACTGAACTCGAAATTTAAATCTAAACAGAACTTACTCACGGCCTTTGAACATCAACAACGTAAGGAAATCTGAACCCTGCTCCAATGTCGTGCTCTTCGCACATGCCAACTGTGAATAGTCATCCGACTGATTTGCTGCCACCACTGCAACCTGGGTTGCCATCACCAAAGCCTCGGCCTTCGTCTCTACATCCCTAGCGACATTTGCCGCCTGCCGCCACCTCATCTGCGCGGCCGCCGGCCACCGCGGCCTCCGCCCTCGCCATTGCTTTCCGCACCAGTTTTGCAGATTTCAGAGTGTCGTCGGCAACTCCCTTTGCAACAACCGTTGTTGACCGTGTGTTTGCTGCTGCATCCATTGCACGTGAAAAAGGCCTACTCACCACCCGTGAAAGTTTACGGTACACCGCTTCGACCGCGTCATTGACAACCCTCCTCTGTGCTTCAACCGCCTCTGCCGGATTGGAACGCCATCGTCACTTGAGTGCTTAATAAACAGGCAAACAACAACATGTCGATATGAGTGCGGCAATGGGTACACTTTTCAAAATCTTGAAAAGTACACCCATTGCCGCACTCATATCGACATGTTGTTGTTTGCCTGTTTATTAAGCACTCAAGTGACGATGGCGTTCCAATCCGGCAGAGGCGGTTGAAGCACAGAGGAGGGCTGTCAATGACGCGGTAGAAGCGGTGTATCGTAACCTTTCACGGGTGGTGAGTATGCCTTTTTCACGTGCAATGGATGCAGCAGCAAACACACGGTCAACAACGGTTATTGCAAAGGGAGCTGCCGACGACACTCTGAAATCTGCAAAACTGGTGCGGGAAGCAATGGAGAGGGCGCAGCCGCGCAGATGTGGTGGCGGCAGGCGACAAATGCTGTTAGGCATGCAGAGACGAAGGTCGAGGCTTCGATGAGGGCAACCCAGGGTGCAGTGGTGGCAGCAAATAAGTCGGATGACTATTCACAATTGGCGTGTGCGAGGAGCGCGCAGGGTTCAGATATCCCTACGTTAAGGGCCGTGAGTAAGTTCTGTTTAGATTTAAATTTCGAGTTCAGTTTCTCGAGGTTTAGTTCATAATTAGGGTTATAACTATGCCATATAATGCCTATTTGATAACTTTTTTAAAGGAATGCCATATAATGCCTATTTGATAACTTTTTTAAAGGAATTTATTTAACTTGTTGGGCTTTAAATTAATACACCTTTTTAATACAATAGGGAGGTAATAGTTTTAGAGGCCTATTCAGTTGATTGACTTAAAGTAAATCATAGTTAATTTATTTTTTTGACTTATTTAACTGATTGCAGAAAGAATTATGCCTACTTGTTTGTGATATTTACACAGTTATTTTTGAAAGAAATTATTGTTTATAGATTGAAGAGGTGCGGTATTCTTTTGGTGTTTGGCGATATATCCGAAAAAAATTAAGTTATTGATTTAGAAGTATTTTTAATTTCTATTTTTCGTTGTTTAGTTGGTTTATAATTGTTTTAGGGTTTAGTTTAAAACATTATTTACTGTAGGCTTCTTGGTATATTTATCTTGGCATATTTGTTTGATATAAATCAGGTTTATATTCTAATAATTTAGTTAAGTAACTTAATAGGGTGTATGTATGTGTGTTTGAATTTTATTGTGTTGATAGTGGTTGGGTGTAAGGTTTCTGTGTGCAACATTGAAGGAGAAAAAAATGAAAAATATTTTGGTTCGTGTGTGCAACACCAAAGGAGAAAAAAATGACAAATATTTTACCCTTTTCAGTCTGAAATTTTTGTTTCTATAAAGTTTGATATGATTAAACATAGGGTGAATTTATTTTACACTCTAATATATACATATAATTTCTTTTGTACATTGTCCCATAAAAAAACTTTTTTTTTTCACCACACTACTTATGAATTTATATGCGATATAAAATTGTCTATCCAAATGAACCGCATAATTAACAATTATGTGAGATTTCATCGTATATATACTAACGCATATCTAAATTAAATGCATAGTTAACACTACGGAATACATTCACATATTTGTTAATCATATTTCCAAATCCATCACATAATTTTTGTTATGCGAATTTATTCTCTATATATAGTTATCGCATATTCAAATTGATACTAGCATATTTTATGATTAAAAGACATGTTTTTGCATATTTTACGTCTCGCATATCCAAGTCGGACGCATAGTTAAATATTATGCAAAAGTGCAAAGCACTTACTCATATTATGTAATCGCGTATCCAAATCGAACATCTCATTTTTTTATCAGTATAGTTTTTGTCTCACATACCCAAATTCACATAATTGGTCATATGTGATAATGTTTTGCATATTCATGACTCGAATATCCAAATCGAACGTTGCATATTTTATGTTACGAGACATACTTTCGCATAGTTGACTAATCGCATATCAAAATCTACCGCATAATTTATCAAATGCGAGAACTTTTTGTATATTCAAGAATCAAATTTCTAAATACATCGCATATTTTATGTTATGCGACATTGTTTCGCACAGTTGACAAATCGCATATCCAATTCCAAAAGGCGCACTAAGTGTCAAGCCATAAGATCCCGGAAGCGCACTAAGTGTCAAGGTGGGGTACCAAGTTAACCCGTTCAGGCCATAAGAGTAAAAAAAAAACACACTAAGTGCCAAGGATGGGAACCAAGTCTGTCCGATCGGGCCGCGAGAGCCCATGAATTGAATAAAATGTTAAGGTTGGATGCCTTAAGAGATGCTTGGATATAAAAAATTTTAGTTTTATTTGAATTATTTGGTTTGGTTTAATTTGGTTAATTTTGACAAAGGTGGTATGGTTAATTGTTAGTGGGTATTAAAATGATGTTTAAAATAAAATAATTAAAGTTGTTTTGACGTAAAAGTAGGAGAGAGAAGATTTGAAGTAATAGTTAATTAAAATTATGTGAGAAGATGAATAGTGAATTAAAGTTGACGTAGTGTATAAGAATGATTGATTAATATTATTTAATTATATTGATAATATCGATGATAGTGGAGTTGAGTTAAAATTGAGTTAAAAAAAGTGGTTGGGTTAAAAATGATTGGATTTTTTTGAGAGAGTTTATATCCAAGCATCCTCTAAGTTATCCGATCAAAGAAGTAAGAAGTTTGAGAAAAGAACATGAGAATAATAGAACAAATACACCAACCTAATGAGAATGATCCATTTCCAAAAGGCAACGACATTCAAAGAGAGAACTAAATAATAGACTCGCGATTATGAGAAATCAAAATCGCATTAGAAAACTTAAACCATTCATATCATCGCCCCTATATATAATTCCCGAATGCGCTGAGCCTAAGTGGCATGTTCGTGTGCTTTGTAAACTTATTTGACATAATTTGGTGCTTCGTATTGACACATGTTCAGGTTTGGTTTTGACCATTAGGCTTGGGAATTACCATAAACTATTTTAACTTTTATTTTTTCTTAAATTATCATATACTAGTCTTACCTTTTTTATTTAGTTCATATATTAGTTATTATAAATATGTATTTTTTTAAAATCTTTATAACTTTTTATTTGTATTTTATTTTTCAAATATGATCTACTAAAATAATCATATTGTATGACATCCACATTGCATATATAAAATAAATAATAATTTCATCTACATTTATAAATAAAATTAATTTTATTATCAGCTCAATTTAAAATACATAAAATAACAATATAAATTATTTGTAGGAAAAACATATGTTCTATTTGTAGGAAAAACATATGTTTTTTGCTAAAATTTTGTGTGCATATTTGCATATGATTATTTGTAGGAAAAACATATGTTCTATTGATTGGGTGGAAGATGTGATTGTTGAAAATTCTTCAAGTATTGACAAGAAAAATGTGGATGATACGATGCATGGTGACTTTTTAAATAGCGGCCGAAAATCAAACGACGAGCCAAGAATTGGAATGATTTTTAATACCCTTGATGAAGCATGGGATTGTTGGCAAAATTATGAGAAGCTAATGGGATTCGTGGTCAAAATAAATTATCGCAACAAAAGCCAAAAGGATGGAGTATATAATAACACAATTTTTGTTTGTCGTAAGAAGGGTAAAAGAGCTGAAGATAAAAGGAGGGTGGGAGCCGTACATCGATGGGAAGAAAGAACATCATGCAAGGCTAAATTGAATGTAGTTTTGGAGAGGTCGACTGGAAAATACAAGATCAAAGAATTTGTTGCAGAACATAATCATGAAATTGAGCCTCCAGAAACGAGTCATATATTAAGATCGCATAGGCAAATGAGCCATGCCGCTACTGCTGCAATTGATTTGGCACATGATGCCGGACTCACCCCAAAAGCAACACATCACTTGAAGATTAGAGAAGCAGGGGGTTAGGATAAACTTGGATACATATTAGAAGATCAAAAGCCTTATTTGCGCTTGAAAAGAGAAAAAAAAAATGATACATGGTGAGTTGGGAAGTATAATACGATACTTTGAACAGAGAAAAAGCAAAGACCCTTCATTTGTTTATTCAATGCAGTTTGACAATGACGAACTAATTACTAATATATTTTGGGCTGATTCGAGAATGATTGTTGATTATGGTGATTTTGGCGATGTAATTACATTTAACACAACTTATGGCACAAACAAAGAATTGAGACCATTAGGTGTATTCACGAGATTTAATCACCACATGCAAATGGTAATTTTCAGGGGTGCACTTTTGTACGATGAGACCACTGATTCGTTTGCTTGGCTTTTTGAAACTTTCTTGAATGCTCATGGAGGTAAAGAGCCTCAAACTATTTTTACAGATCAAGATGCAGCTATCGCAAATGCTTTGGCAAAAGTATTGAAAAATACACGACATGGGCTTTGCACGTGGCACTTGAATCAAAATGGGATCAATCAATTGAGTTGGCTTATGAAATATGATTCTTCCTTCTTGATGGAGTTTAAGAGGTGTATGTTTGAATATTTGGAAGAGGATGATTTTGAAAAAGAATGAAAAAACTTCTTGATAGTTATGATTTGCATGATAATGAATGGTTGTCGTGTACATATGGTCTGAAGGAGAAATGGGCCAAATATTACATGAAGTACACATTTATCCTTGGTATAAGAAGCACTCAACTGAGTGGGAGTTTGAATAGTGATTTGAAATCCTATTTAAAATGTGATATGACTATTTTTTTTTTTCAGACAGATTGATAGGGTTGTCGATGAGAAAAGAGAGGTGAAGCTTAAAGCCGACTTTGATGCTAGACAGAAGATACCTCCACTAGAATCATATGATTCTTTATTGTTGATGCAAGTGTCATAGTTTCACACTCCTGAGATTTTTACACTCTTTCAGACTGAACTTCATGCTGATTTTAGAGTGATGATAAAAGGAAAAGATGAGACTCACCATCCGCTTGAATATATGGTTCGTCTTCATGGTTCAAGAGAAAATGAGATGAAAGTACTCTTTGATACTACAACAGATTGGGCCGTCTGTCGTTGTAGAAAGTTTGAAATCATGGGAATATTATGTTGCCATATCCTGAAAGAATTTGTTGTTCAAGATGTAATGTGCATTTCACAAAAGTACATATTGGGCAGGTAGATAAAAGGCGTGAAAAAGTGCCCAAAATTTGAACAAAGAAAATTCACATGGTGCAGAAGATGTTAGGGAATGGGTCCAAAGACTTCAATCTCAACTCTTACGGATGACACTTCAAGCTTCCGCCCATGAAGAGACACGAAGTTGTATGGAGAAGATGGTGCAGGAATGTAATAAGCAAATTTTTGCTTTTGCAACAAATAATGAGATATAAAATGAAGAAGTTCCTTCGTCCAATGTAGATGGTAGAATTGAAAATATGAAAGGCTTGAAAAAAAAGGGCGGAAAAA